AACTGTGGTCAATGTCATGAGACAAAGTATATGTGAACTGCTGTATGGAAAATGAATTTGCTCTGTAAATCTTCACCCAAATCACAATTAAAAAAAAAAAATTGTTTCCTGTTAGGTACATTTTTCTGCTAGGGATTACAAGATTTTAAAAGGAGGCATGTCCCAGATTCTGAGGGATGCAAGAACTTGTTCGTAGGGTTTTAGAACCAGATTAGCTCTGAGGCTTAACTGGACACTGGGGGTTGGTTACCTTGCATTTTCCATTTGACTCTGATGCTGAATGAATTCAGGAAGTTTTGCTAGAAAAGTTCCTGGGTGGTACAGATGGTTAGCATTTGCTGTTAATCAAAAAGCTGGAGGTTTATACCCACCTGGCAGTACCACCAAAGAAATAGGATTGGTGATCTGTTTCTGTAAGGACCACATACAGCCAGTTCAGCTCTCACATACATGGGTCTCTCCAAAGGACGCCTCAGCAACACAACAAAAACAACAAAAGTCATGCTGAAGCCGACCAGAAAACCCAAAGTATTCTGGTCATTCTGATGATTTTGGCATGCTTTGAACGTTTTAAAAAAGTCTTTACTAACAGTGAGGGGAAAAGGAGAACATAAAAATTGTCACCTACACTATAAATACCTTTCTGGTCTGTTTTGTAAACAAAACTTTGGATTGTCATGTTTGTACACTTTTAAATTCTCTTTTTGCAGTTAATTGTCCGAGTAGCGGTGTTTTGATAGGAAGGTGGTACCGGGCTTTATTTTCACGTAGAAAGATCCTTCCTCCTTGCAAGGGTAGGTGAGATGGATACTCTCCTGTTTGGAAATGGTTGTTGTTGTTGTTATTTGCCATCGAGTCGGCCCCGACTCCTAGCGACCCCTCCTTGGGTTTCTGAGGCAGTTATCACTATGGAAGTAGGATTGCCCAACCTTCCTTCCGAGGATTGGCTGGTGGGTTTGAACCGCTAGCCTCCTGGTTAGCAGTCAAGGGCCTTGGCACTGTGCTACCAGAGCTCCTGTTGTAACATGTCTTCATTCAGGGCCCTGTCCGGGGACTGCTCATGCCAAGCTGTCCCATTATCGCCTCAACCTGAGAGCATCTCTTCCACACAGGGTTCCCCAGGTGGCAGAAAGCTCTGAGCAGGTTGGGTACTATCAGAGAGGAGTTGATGCCAAGGGATACCGAGTTGAGTGTTCCTGAACATGCATCAAAGGTTCAAAACGAAGCAGCACAGTTGTTGTTGAGCTGACTCGGGTTTATGGTGACCCCATGTGGGTCAGAGTAGAACTGTGCTACGTAGGGTTTTTGATGGCTGGTTTTTCAGAAGTGGAGTGCCAGGCCTTTCTTCAGAGTGCCTCTGGGTAGACTCAAACCTCCAGTCTTTCAGTTAGCAGCTGAGTACATTAAGCATTTGCACAACCCAAGGACTCTTAGGGTATTCAGGCCTCATTTTACAGGAGCGTGGCAGGGCCGTGGTCTGAACCGAGCTGAGTTAGCTTTGGTCCTTGGCGTTTACTGAATAACTGTTTTTCTCTCTCACACTCACAGAGCTCTCTCGCAGAGACCCTGGATAGCACTGGCAGTTTAGACCCCCAGAGATCGGACATGATTTACACCATAGAAGATGTTCCTCCCTGGTACTTGTGTATATTCCTGGGGTTACAGGTAAGAAGCTCAAATAGTCTACCATCTGTTTTGATTTTTATCTATTGGAGAGTTTATTATAAGTAAATGGTGAATGGGAATCACTAACATCAGTTTTCCAATAGTGAAAGGAAGAAAAGAACAGGAGGAGTAGGTTAATGGGGAACCAAAGAAGAAAAATGTTCCAGGAATAAATAGAAGAAGGAAGGATGTGAGAGTAGAGCTATAGGAGAAAGGAGAAAAGTAGAAGAGTAGAAAAAAGAAAAGGAAAAGAGTGGGCAGTTTTCATCTTCCATTCCTGGCTTATTAACCAGGCAGCACATGTATTTACTGAATCCCATCCACAGTCATGGAAACTGCTGGGTGATATGGGTGGCAGTGAAAAGTCCCATGTTGGCCAGAGTATAAATAGGGACTTTTAGTATTATTTTTTTCAGAAGAGAAGGCTGTAAATGGGATGTTTTAGTCTTGTTTTTTTAAAGGAAGGGAAACTTTGTTGTGGTAGCAGCTGCTTTCTCTGCTGGCAGTTTCTAGTGGGAGTCGAGTGTGAACCTGAGAGGAGGCGGGAGGGGTATAGGCAGAGGTGACACAGCTGAGGCAGCTCCTGTGTCTCTGGTACTACCCTCCTCTCTTCCTGCAGCCTTTCCCTCTGACAGGATGGAAGCAGGGCTTTCACATCTTCAGAATGTTTTTTCAGAGTGCTGTTGCACACTTTAATAGCCTACAGTAGAGTGTACACATAACTTTTATATGCACTGGGAAACCAGAAATTTTATGTAACTTGTTTTATTGCCATATTCCCTTTATCATGGTGGTTTGGAACCAAACCTGCAACATTTCCAAGGCATGCCTGTATTTGCTTTGGTTGTTTTTGCTTGAATTCTGTTCTGAAGTCTAACCTTTCCATTCTTCATTTCTCAAGTTTGAGGACTCACCTGAGCCCAAGATATTTCAGATGCTCAGAATCAGTCTCATTGCCCAGGTGTGGCTGAGGCAGGTTGACTCATTTGTAGGTGGGGCTCTACCTGCCAAAGGCTGATGCTTTGGTTAAATTTCTTGCCCCTTCCTTTCTGGGCATCAGAGGACTTGGTAATCTGGACTGGAAGGTGTCTAGTAGAGGAGGAGTCAGAGCTAAAGGAACGACGTGGTCTTGCAGGATGGCTTTCCGTAGGCTGAGTGTCCCAAACAGTGTTCCAAAAGCATATCCCCCCTGCCACCCTCCACCGCCAAAAGCATACTTTTTGAGATGCTTATATTATAGATGTTCCTGGAAGAAGTCTTCTCTGGTCAAATAGATTGGGAATTCCTAGCAGGGTTATGTCCTTTTTGATGATACATAATGAGCATTAACTTGTGACCTGCTCTGAGACGTGCTAAACAGGAATGGTCTGTGCCCCAGGACACACCCATTAGTGTCAATATCAGCTGGGGTTCATGAGCTGCAAGCAACACATTGTGGCAGAAACAGGGAGACACTGGAGAAAAAAGGTAGAAGTCCACAGAATATAAGAATTGAACCTCCAGTTTTCTGGCAGGGTACCGGTGAGTGCCAGGAGTAGCCTAGGGCCACAAGGAATGGGAAGAGGTTGGTCCTGAAGGGAAAGGAGGGGTGGGGTTCTTTCTAGAGAATTCCTATAGCTACTGGTTCTTCTTAACCCTTCCCTGACTGGAACAGATAAATTTCATGCTTGTCAAACGATTGCAGACCATAGAAAAAGATGGAAAACTCTTCATACAATGAGCCAAGTGTAACTTTAATCCCCAGACCCAAAGACATTTTTGTTTTAAAAAATTAGACCAATTCTTTTAGGAATATATAGATGGCAAAATCTACATAAAACGTTAGCAAATCAAATCCTGGAGGAAAAGCACAGCTTGGCTGAGTAGAGTTTGTTTCAGGAATACCAGAACAGTTCGGTGCAACCCAACTCATGCTAACAATTCAAGGACACAAAGACCATAAGCAATCAAGTCTAGAAAAGCATTTGAAAAAAGTAGAAAATATTCTTTGGGCAGTGTACCAAAAGCGAATTATCAAAATGCTGGCATTGAGGAAGAGGAAGACAGAGAGAGGTACATGAGAGGTACAGATGACAAAGATGAACCTTTTGCACATACAGTACTGCGTTGTCAGTAATAGCAAGCATTGATCTATAATATAGGTGGATAGATGGGTAGACAGGCTGATAAGACCAGGTATGTCTAGGAAGAGGGGAGTACAGCCATGACCATGTATAAGGTCGGTAGACGATGTTCCTACATGCGTATTTGAATGTGCTATAAGAATGTCTGTCTTGGCCATAGCCAGCTACCCTGAGTGAGCGAGTAGTTGGACCTGTGGGCTTGGGACCATGGTCAGAGGGAACATCAAGCTCAACTGGCATAATACCCACTGCCATCAAGTCAGACCCAACTCACAGCGACCCCTCCTTGGGTTTCTGAGGCAGTATCACTACAGAAGTAGATTGCCCAACCTTCCTTCTGAGGAGTGGCTGGTGGGTTTTGAACTGCCAGCCTTCTGATTAGCAGTCAAATGCTTTAGGTACTATGCCACCAGAGCTCCTAATTGCCGTAATATACTACCCAAAAACGTTGTTCTACATCCTACTTTGGTGAGTAGCAACTGGGGTCTTAAAAGCTTACAAGTGGCCATCTAGATGTAATGATGGATCTCTGCTCGTCCAGAGCAAAGAAGAATGAAGACAAGCAATGATACATGGAAACAGTTAGTCCATGGGACTAGTAGACCATGCGATCCTTAGCCTATGTGACCATGAGAACAGAAGAACTGATAGTGCCTGGCTGCCACTGTCAACCACTTGGAGGGGATCTGTATAGGAGATCCTGGATAGATTGGGAGAACAGTGTGGAACAAAACTCAAAATCATAAAAAAAAGACCAGGTGTGCTGGTCTGATAGAGCCTGGTGAGACCCTGAGACTAGGGCCCCTAGTTACCCTTTACCTCTGGAACTGAACTTACTCCTGTGGCCTCCAGCCAAACAATTGACAGGCATATGGGGTGAATATTTGCATCAGGTAGATATACTTCTTGGTGAGATCAGTCATTGGAGAACAAAAAAGGCAGTGTTTACATGGGGAGACACTGGGAGGGAAGGACACAAAGCAGAGGTAACTACAGGGAAGAAGTGGGAAGAGAGCTGTTACATTGTGGGGAATTGTAATCAGTGTCATGAAACAAAATGTGTATGTGAGCTGCTGTATGGAAAATGAATTTGCTCAGTAAACTTCTACCCAAATCACAATAAAAATTAAAAAAGAAAATTCCTAGTAAGAATCATATGAGTAGAATATCACTGGTGCTTGTATTGGGCACTTCCTTTGTGCTGGCACTGTTCCATGCAACTTTACATAGAATAATTCGTTTAAACCTCATGACAGTTCTATAAGGTGAAGTACTATTATCATCCCTTTTTACAGCTAAGGAGACTGAGGCACACAGAGATTAGGCATCGTGAATATTTTGCCCAAGATCACACAGCTTGAAAGTAATTTGAATTTGGATACAGGGTGTCTGAATTCCAGAACTTACATTTTTGACTATTACATTACCCTGTTCTCCTTAGAGATGAATAGAAGTCTGAGCACTGTACCTAGTGATCATTTGCCATTGAGTCTGTTCTGACCCATGGCCGCTCCTTGTATCTCAGTGGGTCAGGGTCGCACGGTGCTCCACGGGGTTTTCAGTAGCTGACTTTTTAGAGGGAGATTGCCAGGCCTTTTTTCTGAGGTGCCTCTGAGTAGACCCGAACCCCCAGCCTTTTGGTTAGCAGCTGAGAGCATTAATTGTTTGTACCCTCTGATCTCCTAAACACTATAAAGGCTGTCAAATTATGCGGTAAAGTGCTTCTTAAAGGGTAGACTTATTTAAGCCTCTTCCACTAAGACAGCCAAAAAGGAGTGCTTCTTGTGCTGTATTACCCAGTGCTGTTTTTGAAATTTGATTGTGTGTGTAATAAAGCAAGAAAGAGTAACAAAGAGGAGAAATGCTGAGAAGGAAGAAGAAAATACACGATTTGGCGGATGATACGAGTGTGTACCTCGAAGGAGCCGCTTCATGTGAGCTATGACTTGAAGACAGTGAGGGAGCAAAGTTAGGATAAAATGAGAAACACTGAGGGAAAGTTTGTTTAGTCTCCCCTGTCTCTCCTGTCACCCACAGCACTATCTGACCTGTTTCAGTGGCACAATCGCAGTGCCTTTCCTGCTGGCTGACGCCATGTGTGTGGGGTATGACCAGTGGGCCACCAGCCAGCTCATCGGGACCATCTTCTTCTGCGTGGGAATCACAACCTTGTTGCAGACAACATTTGGATGCAGGTGAGATTGGGGTACTCAATTGGGGTACTTAAACCAGCGTCAGGCATTGAGTGGTACTCAGCTCACAGATGCCATTCACCTGGGCATCCATTAGAAGAACTGACTGGAATGTGTATGGGGAGGCTCTCCTTGGCCATTTGCTTCCTCCCCTGTGTTTCCTCTCTTGGTGAATGGCAGCACCCCTGCCTGGTTAATACAAGCTGGACTCTGAGATTCACTCTCACCTCCTTCCACTCCACAAGCTGTGGGGCCATGGTGCTTCGCTTCTTTCTCCAGCCTCCCATCCTACCCCCATTCCGTTAATTCAGACCTGTACTAGCCACCAGGGTCCCAGTTGGCTTCCCTACCTCCAGGGCTCCTTTCCTGGTCCCTCTGTGTAGTCCCCCCCCACCGCCAAGTGTCTTCTTCGTAACTGTTCCTGGTTAAAAAAAGAAAGAAAACCAGGACGCGCCCATCACTTCTCTGTTCCCATGCTCTCCGCCCTGCCTCCCTTCCGCCCTGCCTCTGAGCCGGTCCTCCACCTTCCCCCCTGCCCCCCCGAGCTAATGCTCCTCGCAGCTCTACTCTCTGTGCTTCCGCTTCCCACCCACCTGACTATCTGCCCCCATCCTTCCCTCCTCTGTGACGCCTTCACTGTTCTCTCTTCTGAATCCCCACACATGCATCTTCTTCTAAAGTGGCTCTTACCCCCCATTTGTCACAGTTTGGTTTTGTGTCTTTTTCTCTGCCTCCCAGATTGTGCTCCCCCTTGATGCCAGCATTTTGGCTTGTTCCACTTCGCACCCCCAGTGCCAAGTTGTAATGGGCTCAGGGCCGTGAGGCAGGAGTAGAAATGCCCTTTCCTCCCTCCTCCTGCATACTCGCCTTTCCCTCGCCTTTCCAGTTTCCTACCTTCATTCCAGGCAGCCCCTTCCTTTACCCTAGGGCTCTGCTGCTGGGTCGAGCCTGCAGTGAGAGATCGGCCCATGGGAAGGCTGACAGAGGCCACTTGAGAATTCAGTCTCTTGGCCCATTGAAGGCAACCGGCATGAGGGCTTTTCCTTCCTTGCTTGCAGGAAGTGGAGAGGAGAGGGAGATAGCACAGAAGACAGTCTTTGAAATCATGGACTGTATTTCAATGAGTCAAAATCATCAGGGATTTCAAAAAGGGTTATTCATATTTTAGGGGACAGAATACTTGGAGATCCATGAACAGTTTTGGGGTGTGTGATTGACAGTATAGACTGTCAGTGGGGAAGGAAGTCACTCACAGGCCTGCTGATGGAAAGAAACGCTAAGGGCTCCTGACGCTCTCACACTCTGGCCCCTGGTAGACTCAGAAGGGGGAACATCCCTTACCTGACAGTTAGGGGGACAGGGGTGACATTGACCCACCAGGGGAAAGAAATGTGTTATAAGGAGGCCTTGGTTCACCTTCTCAGAGTCAGGTAAACTTGGCAGGTGGCATCTCTCACTCCTTTAGTAGGACGTCCAAGATTGTGTATTGCAAGTCCAGAGTTGATTGAAAAGCATTTATTGGCTGACTCAGCAGCCTTACCTTCTGGTAGACACCACCCATTTGTGAATCGTGGCAATGAAAGATGCCTTTGGTGCTGTGAAATATGCATTGTATGCAGCCCTGCCCTGGTCTCAGGCCACAGGCATGCACCCTGAGTTGAGGCCACAGCTGAGCTGAGGCAGTGGTGATCTAGTTGCCCAAAAGTGACACAGCAGAGAGGGCTTGGAACTTTTGGTCAGTGCTTTAGGTCATGGGAGGGCACCCAAATAGGACCCTTTTGCCCATGTTGGGGTACAAGACCTAATTGAACACCTTGGGCTGGTGTAGTTCATCCCTGCCTCTTGCTGCATAAGAGCCTCTGAGCTGAGGAAGAGCAGGAAGGGGATTTGCCACACCTCATGGGATGGCTCAGGGACCCAAAATGTAGCGCTGTGGGTGCCTCAAGCGTGTGATGCTTGTGTGTGTGTGTGTCTCTGTGTGATCTGTACTCAAGAGACTCAGTGAAACTAGCTCTCTCCTTTCTCTCATTTGTGGGAGGAAGGTGTTAGGAAAGCATCACCCACATCCTTTTGGTTGATGTGTGACAAGCAGTAGGCCCCAGCCCTCAACTTCCATCCTCACCATAATGTAGCCATTTGCTTAGTTATAAGTCAGAAGGCAGGTGCCACGTTCAATAACCATGTCAGGGCATATGTGCTGCTGGGGGTGGTTCTTGGGGGCATGGAGTGGAGGCTAAGGGGCTTTGGTGTGTGGTTTATCCCGGGATACTGGTTTTCTGTGTTTTGGGCGGCTTATGGGGGGTGGTGTTCATACTCTTAATGTAGGCGGAAGGAATAACAGCGTATTGGCTCAGCTCCACATGTCTGTGTACCAAGTGCCAGGTGAGGAGGACCTGGTGCCTTGCTGGTGCACAATAGTGACAGTGGAGCGAGCACACACCACACTAGAGGGCTGAGCAGTCAGGATGCTGTGCTGGTATCTTGCTGGGGCTGGGGATGTGGGGGGCAGTCATGGAGGAGATGGTCAGTCTCCTCGTTCTGGTTGATTTTGGATGTCAGTCACAGCTGCCTCTCAGACTTGTTCCAGGAATTAGTTTAAGGCCTCTCAATTCTGAAAGATTAGGGTGGGGTCATTTCAGAGCCCTCTGACCCTGATACTGTGACAGCTAACTATTACCCTGCGATAGTCACACTGCCTTGGCTGTATGGAGAGCTTCCCACCTAATGTATCACCTTGGCTGCTAATAGGCTTTTCCAATGGAGACCAAGTCTTCCTGGCACCTCCATGCCTTCCAGGGTCCCTGCAGTTGCCATGTAACCATGGATCTCATCCAGAGCTGGGCATGGAGCAGGGCCCTCTAGGAACCTGTTGCTGGCCCTCCCAAGGTTGTGGCAGTAAAAGAATCCCACTGTGCTTGGGGGACCAGTTCTAGCCTTTTGCCCAGGTGCCTCTGGGAGGCATCACCCTGACCTCTACAATAGGGTGGCCCTTCCCTGAGGAGCATCTTCTGTCATTCAAAGGCCTATTGGATACACACAGAACCTACTTGTGCTAAGAAAACATAGGGTTTGGGCCAGGAGAGCCCTTGTGACCTGGTCTGTGTACCTGGTCTCTCTAACTACATCCTCTGCTCCTGAGCGTGAGAGCACACTGCTGTCTTCTACCTCATTGGATTTTCGGGGCCTGTAAGGGACCTTGTACATACCATGTGCCTACTGTGTATAGGAGAGAGCCCTCTCACACATTCTTTTTTTTTTTTGATTTGGGTGAAGATTTACAGAGCAAATTCACTTTCCATACAGCAGTTCACATATACTTTGCCGCATGTCATTGACCACAGTTTACCACAATGCAACAGCTCCCCTCCCACTTCCTCCCCATAGTTACCTCTTCCCAGTGTCCATCCCTCCATACTCTCCTGCCCCCTGAGCTGTCTCCCTGTGCATAAGCAGCCCTTCCTTCTCCCATGATTGTTCTCTCCAGGGTGTGTGTCTACTTGAGGTAAATATTTAACTCACATGGCTGTACTTTGTTTGGCTGGAAACCACAGGTATGGGTTCAATTCCAGACCTGAAGGGAAGCCAGGGGCCATAGTCTCAGTGGTTCCACCAGGCTCTATTAGACCAGCAAACCTGGTCCCCACCTTCTTTTTTTTTTTTTTTTTGCCTCCGAATGATCTTGAGTTTTGTTCCACATTGTTCTCCCTCTCTATGCAGGATCTCCTATATCCCTTCCAAGTGGATGACAGTGGTAGCTGGGCACCATCTAGTTCTTCTGGTCTTATAGTTGTATAGGCTGCAGATCGGATGGTATACCAGTCACTAGGACTGATTGTTTCCATTAATTTTGGTTTTCTTCTTTCTTCTTGATGAGGAGAGACCCATTGTTGCATCTAGATGGCAGCTTCTCTCACACATTCTTAAACCCAGGGGGATGGCCTCATCCTTCTCCCCAGTCTGTTTTAGTCTGGAAGCTCTGCTGAAACCGGCCCACCATAGGTGACCCTGCTGGTATTTGAAATACTAGTGGCATAGCTTACAGCATTGTAGCAATATGCAAATCACTGCAGTATGACAGACTGACAGACAAGTGGTAATTGAGCTCATAACGACTGATAACACCTAGAATGGAGCGATGCAGTGATTAGGTTTTGAAGGAGGATTAGGATTGGGATTTTCCCTCAGGTTCTCTTCTATAGGTGTTTGTGTATGGGGTGTACATGTGTAGTTTTTGGGTTCCTTTGGAACCACTTTAGAAGTTGCGGACATCATGATGTTCAGCTGTAAGTACTCTCCTAGGAATGAAGATGGTCTCTTTGTAAACACAGTGCCATTATCACCCCTCATAAAATGAACAATCATCCCATTTCAGCACCTGGTATGCAGTCCATACTATTTCCCTGAATGTCTTTTATGGCTATCCCCCACCTCTCTGAACCCAGAGCCAGTCAGGTTCATGCATGAAGGTACAGTGGTTTGTTGTGCCCCTTTGGTCTCTTAATAATAAATAATGTCACATCTTTTTTTTTCTTCATATTGTTGCCTTTTAAAAAGAGTGTAGGACAGTTGTCTTGTTGAGTATCCCGTAGTCTGGATTTTTCTGATTGTGTTCTCATGGTGATGTTTAATTAATTCTGCAGTCTTCTGACATGCTGTAAACTGGAAGACAGGGCCAGAGGCATGCTTGATTCAGGGGGCGTTTTTGCCTAAATTCCCACGTAGGGGGTGTCGAGCTGTTCACATTCTGCCCTACTGAGCAGTCACTTTATGGCAGCTTGTGGGACATTTTTGTGTCCAAATAAGAAAGTTACTGCCCATATAACTAAAAAAGAATTTTGAACAGTATGTTAAAATGCCAGGCCAGTGAAACTCTGGAGGCCGTGGCCTTGGAAGAGGAAGCTTTGTCAGCTGCTCAGGGGCAGCGTCAGCTCCCTTTCCCCCATATACTAGCCATGTGACTTTGGGGAAGCTGCCTAGTCACTCAGAGCCCTCATCTGTAAAAG